ATATATATATATATATATATATATACATATATTTGGAAACATCGATGTTATGAAGAAATATATTGATCTGAATAAAATATCGTAAGCAAAATATCGGTGTTATAATATCGACGCTTCAATTCTGCATGCACATGTTGATGTTTCAAAAACATGGGTTTTTTTGCCATCCCTAGGAGAGCCTGCCCAAACTGCAACGCATGCATACATGAGCGCGCGCGGACGGAAAAGTCACTTCCGCGGATGGCTTTTAATGAGAAAATTAGCGAGTCCTCCCAATATAATCTTTCTTCTGATATATGTTGTATTTTTTGTATTGTTTTATAATTCTCCAAACCGTATATCCTGTGTTGCTGTTTTTAATTATTGTATAAATAGGACGACACACTTTTGGCACTCACAGTACTTTGTATTTGTAAACATGACGATTATCAAACCTCAATTACGATCTATAATAACACCCTGTGTACTATCATTAAAGGTATTTTTGGAGACTTGTATACTGAATAGTTCAGAAAAGAACTTAGAACACTGGAGCCAATTTAATTATTTCAATCTTTAAATAAGAACATGATCAAAAATAGATGTAGATACTATAACAGTTGATGTCAGTCAAGCAACATCGTAATCCTTAGGTGCAATTTTTACAAAACAACAATATTTAAAAGTTGAATTTTCGATATCTGTAAACTCAACTAAAAATACATTATACAATAGATAAAAGATTAAAATAGTGCATAATTCCTGGAAAAAATCATACACAAAATTGGCTATAATATTAAAAGATAATTTCACTTTGCAAATTAGGGATTGCGGCGGGCAAACAAATTATGTACTAAAAACGAATATATAAGACTATTTTGCAGCGGTACCCATTGAAATGAAGCGAAGAATTGAGCGAGATGCCTTCTGGGCTCTACTTGGCTTCGCTTGCATGGGCAGTACGGTCAATCTAGTTCTTTGTATCTATGGTGGGGGCTCGTGGCCTCCTCCACTAAGGCCTCATTCACAATGCAAACTTAAATGTAACGTAATAATGAACGTAATTTTCGCTTGAGCCAATCAGAATTGAATGTTCTGAAGCTTGATCAATTCGTTTCCAGCATGGTGGATATAATGCATGCGATTAGGTGCATTAATGCTCGCATTCACTTTATTTTATAAACAAGGATTTTCTTGTACCAAATTCACGATTAATTCGTCGAACATATTTATTTGATTCGCCATGTCAAGTTAAAGTTACAAGAAAATAGCGCAAATCCATACTTTGAATTCACTACCCGCATCAAAAACGTTCGTAAACTTCTTCTCTACATTACAGTAATGAAATTACATAATCACAAACTACCTGTACTCAATTTGAAATAGATCTTTCACTTGCTTCTCGCGTATTTTGTTGTGCATTTGTTTCTTCCATGCTGCACTCTAATTGCTCTTCCGTAAAATTCCAACATAAAGTTAATGTAAATGCTTGGTGCTTGTGAACTCGTTTCCGAGAACCCGTGTTAACGGAAATTCCATCTACAATTACAAGGCATTGTGAATGGGCTCGCTTTGTAACTCATTTCTAGATTTTGCGTCTTACTTTGCGTTCGTTTGCATTACGAATGAGGCTTAACGAAGCGCGTCGTGTGGCAGGTGCAGCGGCCAGCGGCAACGCGAGCAGCCGGGCCGAAGAGCCGCCTCCGACGCCCCCGTCGCTCCCCACGGCCCCGGGGACCTCCGGCGAGGAGGCGGACAGCGGGGGCGGTGGCGGGGGCGGCGACGGGGACGGGGCCGGCAGCGGCGACGGCGAGGAGGAGACCGAGGGGGCGGCGGAGGGCGAGGGGGCCGTGGAGCCCCCGTTCATCCCGGTGGTGGCGCGCAACTGCGAGGACCTCCTGGGCGGCGGCGGCGGACGCCCCCGCGCCAGCGGCGTCTACAAGCTGGGCGGCCACGACCTCAACCCCAAGGGCAGGGACTTCTACACCAGATACTGTGACATGCACACCAACGGAGGAGGTTGGACGGTAGTCAAATTTGCTCACTTGTATTCACGCCCCTTGCATTCATTCAAAAAGAAAAGAAAAGAGTTCCGCGCGCAGCGAAGGGGAGCACGGCCCCGTGTTAATGACCATTGAAGGGAAGCAATATCTGCACTGCAAGGATATTGGCGAGCCGCTTTCCCCCCTTTTGCAAACCACCGGTGTCATTACTTCTTTCTGCTAGAGCAATAGTCACACTTACACTTCTCTGGTCTTCCACCCTGTTCAGTTGATGGCACCACTGGCGGATCCAGAGGAAAGCATCCCCCCCACACTCACACACACACACCTCAAACCCACCCACACACACACACCCACAAAAAGGCCGAGAGTTTTCGTTTACCTTCCTTCACTTGACAAAATTGATTTAAATATTTATGTTCGAATTATGTAATTATTTAAACAATAATTTACAATATCATATCCATAGAACATAAATAATATACAATGTAATAACAAACATGTTTATTATTTAACAAAGTATACAATGCCCCGCTCCAAAATGCTCAACTGGATCCGCCCATGGATGACGCCCGCTACTACTTCGCGCTTCTATCTTGAAGGGAGAATCAGCTAAACGGTTTACTGAAACGTCGGGGAATCGACAATAGAGATAAAAAAAACACTACTGAAACACTACAAAAGAAATGAAAAGTTCCAGAATCAATAATTCGCACTTATTGTCAGCAATCCATCATAATATTTCGACAGAACGGGAATGACATTTCTAGAGACGGGCGAGACCCCTTATCTGTTCGGCAAGAATCTAAAAATGTCTCATAATAAATCTATCTCCAGGGAATTAAAAATCAAATGTTTTTGAAACAGAAGTTATAAAAGCATCCTCACCTTGATTGTGCTCATAATGCTCTTAAAGCATTCATTCTCCACCCAAAGAAACAACGCACAAGGGTAAGTCATCAAAATATATTTCATATGTTTCAGGTGATTCAACGAAGAGGAAATTTCCATGGACGGAGGCAAAAGTTTTCCTTACCATGGAAAGACTACAAACGTGGTTTTGGAGATTTAGACAAAGAATTTTGGTTTGGAAATGATTTTATCCATCGGTATATACCACTTTATTTACATTAATCAAAGTCTGGAGTTATGTGCTACACTATTCTTCAATCTACGCAATGCTTTCAGACTCACTTACCAAAAGGACATGGTTCTTAGAATTGAGCTGGAGGCGTTCAGTGGGAAGAGGGCTTGGGCAGAATACTCCAGTTTCAGGTACTTAAGTATGGATTACTGTTACTTGTCACTTTACGACGATAACTCGTTTAATTTTTATTTATTTAACGACTAAACAATATTTGTGGTAAATGTCTGTACAATCTGTGCAGGTTTTCTTCTAAAACTTTTTATGAGATTGAAAATGAAGTATATATGGAACTACAGTTTTCTGCATCTTCTGTGTTAATAATAATAAAAAAATAATATTAGTATTAACAAGTTCTTTGTTTTGTGCGACGTTATTGTAAGCGTTCAGCTAGAATTTCATAATTCCTTTATGTATATGGTCCAAGTCCTACGAGTATTTTCATTGAAACCTCTGAATTTTTAAAAACTACTAAACGTTTACAGTTTTTTCAACTACATTAATATTGAAGATAGAAATTTTCTTACGGAAATCTTCAAAATTAGATTAAATAATACCATATACAATTTTTTGAAAATACGAGCAGTTTTCGTATAATTTTGAGCGAAATTGTGCCAATTCAAAAAGTCCATAAACAAGATTTTTCTCAAGAAAGAACACCAATTTTTGTATTTATCTTTTTTACTCGATGTTAGCTTAACAAAATGCCATTTCTATTAAAAATTTAAGTTTCCAAAATTGCATAGTTTCGATCCGTCGGGAACCTTCGGTACTCACTTTGGCGGGTACAAGTAGTATTATTATGTTTCGTAACCGTTGCAAATAATGTGAAAAACAAAGGTACTGTTGAAGCATCACTAGTTTAAAATACTTTTTTGTATTCCAACATTATAAAAGAACCTTTTGTGTTGCAAGAAATCGTTCATAATCGGGCATTTTACGGCACAAATTATGACGTATTAGATTTTATGTCACGAATGATTACGTCATCACACATTCGGCCAATTGGAGCGAGCGAATCGGGGGGAGGTAGAGCTAAACGGGACAGCTGACCACCGTTTACTCGCACGATGTCAAATACCCGAGTCGTCACAGGGAAGGTGTTTCGCAAAATTATATTTGATTCTCTTACAAGTGTATAATGCTGTTATACAAAAAAATAAAGTATGCAACTCGTTTATAATGTTGCTTCATTACATTCGTACAAATTTGTAAAGTCGCTCGTTTTCAAAACATGTACTCTTGCAATACAGCATAACATTATAAACTAATTGCATAAACAACTATTAAGCATGCTGGTTTATTTCTGTTGTTGTTTTTTTATCATAATAGGGTGGGAGCGGCCGAGAGCAACTATCGGTTGACGGTGGGCGGCTACTCGGGCAACGCGACCGACTCGCTGCAAGTGCACGACGGAGCGTCGTTCAGCACCGCAGACAAAACCAACGACGCTGCGCCCGCGTGCTGCCCCTGCGCGCCGGCCTACGGCGGCGGCTGGTGGTTCGACAGGTAAAGACTCGCGCACCGCGCTCCCAGTTGATTCCGGATCACAGGAGGTCCTCGAGACGCATGAAATATTCCTACGCGTTAGTGAAATTTGGAACCTTGGAAAACTCCAAACAAATAAAAGGATAAAAAGAGGCGATCATACTATATGAAAGTACCGTTGATGTAACAATTTTAATTGCTTATTTACATTATTGAGCGGTTTAAGATAGTTAATTAGAGAGTAAATCGTTAATTATCCCAATATATAATATGCTAAGGAAATATGACTTTTTGTCGTTGTATAACAAACAATGGACCCTAAACCTCTTACTGCTCGAGAGAAAAAATACCTCTGGATGTATATAAGAGAAAAAAAACATTAAAATTCAAAATTATGGCTTATTTGAAAAACATCAGATACATACGTACAACCCGCAATAAATACATAAACTGCAATCCACCCTGCAACCCATCGTGCATAACTCGGACCACGTTATCATTTTTTATTGATTTGTGATTCCGATCAACTGCCAAGATCATATGTCCCGTAAGTGTAACGCATGTCTTAGAGCCGGGGGTGGCGGTGATGTTCCCCCGCTGGATGGTAAGAATCGATGCCAACCTACGTCGGCTCGTGGGGATTTCCCCAACCAAGTATCTCCCAGCGGGACATCGCCCAAGTTGGGACAAGCTCTAAGCTCCCAACACGTACGGCAATATAGCGCAAGTGTAAGAAGTGTGAGGGGGGGAAGGACAAGGAAGAGGAAGGAAAGATCGCACGCAGTTCCTGGCTCGTTTGTTAGGGGACTGCGCTGGCATTTGCCTGGTGTTGATCGGAGAAACCACGGAAAACTATAATTTTGCGTGATTTCTCCGATTAGCGGATCAAAGCGGCCGGTCGCTAGATTCTCCTTCGGACAGCGGCTGAACTCTACCAAACTATCTAGCTAGTGCCGAAAATCCTACCACCGTCGGGGCTCGAACCATGCAACCTCGCGGTCAGAAGCATTGCAGTGACATTAGATGATGCCCTACGTTCCCTCACGATCCCAAGTTATCGTGACCATAGACACGAGTTAAGTTTTTTTTATGCCGTAATACAAAATAAGCCATTTTTAAGACGTTCAGAAAGGTTTTTGTAAAGTTCCTTATCCCCGTAATAAGAATGGCCAGAAATGCCAAAAATTGGGTCCCAGGGTAAAGCTATTTGCATCTTTTAAAAGACTTTTTTCTTCACCTGGACTGCCATTGAGGTCCTCTTCTGGAGCAATTCGTTCGACCTGTCAGGGAAGGGAGGCCCTACGCTACCGCCTGCATAGCTCTCAAGGATCATGGAGGTACTCAAGCTCCACCACCAACGACAATATGGTTTCACTTGAAGATTTCAAGTTAGAAATTTTCTAAGTAAGGTAACCAGCCTTTGGCGGGATTGTGATCTGAAAGGGCTGCTGTCTTACGGCTTGCAAACAGCTGTAAAGCATGTCCGGGGTATCAAGGACAAAGCCTCTAATGGCCAGAAAAGGGCAAAAGGATCAACCCCCATGTGGGGTAGTACGCATGGTGGTTTGTGATCAAGTCATAAGACAGCAGCCCTGTCAGATCACAATCCCGCAAAAGGCTGGTAACCTTACCAGGAAAAATTCTCACCCCAAAGCTCCAAGTGAAACAACAAGACGGTCATTATAACAACTCTAGCACGAATAATGAAATCGATTGGGAATAATGGATACACAAATTTCAGGCACATGGAAAGTGAGAGGGCAAAATAATAAAGAAGCAGAATTGGAGTGAAAGTTAAAAGGAATGTAAATTTTGCTTCTGAAATCAAAAAGAAGGGTAAAGGGTCAAAAGATCTCTATGACTACACACTAATATACAGTGGAACTTTCACTCCAATTCTGCTTCTTTATTATTTTGCCCTCTCACTTTCCATGTGCCTGTGCGTTGCCTGCTGCCTGTGCCTGCTGCCTGTGCCTGTGGCTGTGCCTGTGCGTTGCGTGTGCGTGTGCGTGTCAGTGATGCGTGTGCTGTGCGTGTCGTGTGCGTGTCGTGTGCGTGTGCGTGTGCGTGTCTGTGCCGCGTGTGCGTGCGCGTGTGCGTGCGCGCGTTGCCGTGCGTGTGCTGTTGCTATATATATATATATATATATATATATATATATATATATATATAATTATGAATACATTCTTCAGGAAAAAAGATATAAATAAATTTACCTGGAACAAAGGCATTACAAGATTGCTAATAAATAATGTTATAGTGAACAGAAAATTAGCATCTCAGAATAGAAATATTCATGTTTACAGAGGCAGTGATATATCCGATTACTACTTGGTAGTTTCAAAGACCTCAATTGTAGCCCGATGGAAGAAAATTATGGCAAAATAGCATAAAAACGGGAAATCTATGAGCACAGATGTTTACAAAGTCCATCTCTTAAGAGAAGAAAGTATAAGAAATCTCTATCAAATATGTCTGAAACACACATATACCTCTAGAAGATGACATTAATGCAGTGGCACAATATTGAAAATATTATAAACACTGAAGCATATGAAGCTATTGGTAAAAGGAGTAAACATAGAAAAAGAGGCCTGGAAATCTGGAAAGATGAGATTGCTGAAGCCATACACAAAAAGAATTACGTCAGAAATCAACACAAGAGAGGAACGAAAACTACGTACAAAAAAGGAACCATGCAAAGCAATTAGTAAAAGAAGCTCACCAGAAATCGGGACCTTTTCATCAGCACAATTGAAAATCATATCCATGGTAAGAAGAATCTGGCTTACAAGATCATAAAACATTTAAAATCAGCAGAAAATGACAGCGTAGAACTAAAAGAAAGATGGCTGGATAAAATATTATAAATATCTCCTATTAGACCCAATTGTAATTGTTGAAGATGTCACAATACAACAACCCTCAGATAGACCCTTTGGGCAAACATGAAATGGAATATGCACTGTCAAGCAGAAAAATAGAAAAGCTCCTGGAGTAGATGATATCAATGCAGAACTGCTAAAATATGGAGGTGAAGAACTGAAGAACAGACTTCTTGAACTATTTAATAACTGTTATAGAAAATGCCAAATACCTGGTGCATGGAAGAGAGCAAAAGTCATCTCTCCTTTTAAGAAAGGAAATAGAAGCCAGCCACAGAATTACAGAGGAATAAGCCTGTTGATCAATGCTTATAAAGTTTACACAAAAATAATAAATAAACGGCTCACAACAACCTCAGATACACTCCTATTGGAAGAACAAAGTAGCTTCAGGCAAGGAAGATCATGTACAGATATGTGCTTACCATAAACCAAATAATAAAAAAGAGACGAGTTCAATTTAGAGATCCACATAGCTTTTATAGATTGTGAGAAACCGTTTGATAGTTAATTGTGAACTTCTCTAGCAGATTCTTCGAAAAAGGGGCTATCATTTCTACTTGATAGAAGTTATCAAATCCCTGTCACAAAACAAGTACTAATTTAACAAGATGGGAACCAAATGCTAAGAGTTAGAAATAAATAGAGATGTAAGACAAGGGTACAGTTTGTCCCCCACTTTATTTAATATTTATATTGACAACATTCCAAGAGAATGGAAAATTTTAAGTAAACCAAGTATTTGGATAAATCCAATTACACCTTTTCAATCACTTCTGTATGCAGATGATCGTATAATTATAGAAGGGAATGAAGTAAGTCTGCAAAAGTCCTTGTACCAGCTAAATAGAATACACAAACCATATTGTCTCTCAATATCTGTCTCTAAATCTAAAGTGATGGCATTCAGAGGCAAATATTCTATTAGAAATAAAATAAGAATAGAAGGCACAGTAATAGAGCAAGTAAAACATTTTAATTATTTAGGCAGTGACACCACATACAGCTACAGTAACAATATGGAAATAAAATTACGTTTCCAGCATACTTGCGGAACAATAAGCAAATACCTTTGCAATAAGACTAGAAAAGAAACACTGTCAAAATTTTATAAAGTCATGGCAGTACAACAACTGCTTTATGAGTGTGAATCAATACAAGCGTCTGAAATGAAATTCCTTCAGAGAGTAAAACACTGCATCCCAATAGATAAAATAAAAAAATGAAGAAATAAGACAGGAACTTAACACATTTTCTATCAATGAAAAAATAACTGAAAACTTTTTGATCTTCGCTGTGATCTGTATTAAGTTCTAATAGACATAAAATCTTTCCGAATTATTTCTTTTCCTTCATTGTGCTGGACAGTTACAATCATAAATTTAAGTTTTATCTATGTTTCTTTCATGGTAAATTGATCTCATGTAAAATGAATCATTGGTGTTAAAAGCATTCAAGAAATTGCTTTCTTGTTCTATATACAGTATAACATAAGAGACGATTCATTAATAATTCTAATATTTTCTTTACCAAGTTGACAAAATAAATAAAATAAAACTGGGGATTTCCTATGGGTAAATACCTAATATCATCACCATCAATACCATTTGTAAATACCTAATGTCATCAAATTTGGATTCAATTATTTAAAAGGCACCTTACTGCAGTAACAAGTTCATGACTGAACTCTGTAAGGCAACTCCTGTAAGGCATCTAGAATACGTTTATGGGCAAATTAAGTTACATAGACATAACTTCATCAAAATGAGTATACAGCCCATAGGTTTTGTAAGAGATTTTATTCAATGTGTTCAAAACAAATTAAAAATTATTGCAAATGTCATTCTTCTCATTAACTTTCAAAACACCCTTTAATATACTACTATTAAAAAAACTCTAAATTTGGTATTGCAGGACATCTCAGGTTTCAAGGGAAAATTTGATTTAGGAATTTTTAATAAATCATAGGCCCTTGTAACATGACAAATAGATATATTTGATTATATGTAATAGTTTTAGTAATATCTTTGGTCATACATTGTCTTTGTGAATGTTTATTTTATTTTCAGTTGCTTTGAAGCAAATCTTAATGGGGTATATTTCACCCCAAAAGATCACAGAGAAGAATTTCGTGGAATCATCTGGGAACATTGGTTGGGGGATGAATCCCTGAAAGCAACTGAAATGAAAATCAGGCCAAAGACTGTAACTGGGGCCATAATACGTGAAGATCCAGGTTTTGATGAACATGGCTCATCATCTGTTGATGATGTAGATCCTTTGGATATCCCAGAGGACCCCTAATTTGCCTAGTCCTGCGTGTGCTGTACATTTCCAAACCAGAAGGCATTCTACCAGCATGGAGCTCAGATTCTAATTATATTAAAATTTAATTTATTTTCACTTTCTATAAAAGTACAATTAAATCTTAAATTCATTCTCTGCAAATCAGTAAATTTATTTTTAAATTTTTAACATATTCTCATTTATAACAAATCTATTTTGAATTCATGGTATTGCTGTACAATGAAGTTCTTATGTTGGTTCTTGGTTGATCATCTTCATACTTAATCATTTTATCTCATAAACCATTAAGGAAGAACAATGTAGGAAATTTGAAGAAAGGAAGTCTGATGAACAAATGTATCACTTAGAAACACAAGGAAGATTTCTTCCTTTCCAGACCTAATGCTCAACCAGGAATGACCCCTGGACCTTTTCATCTTGCAATGAAATGATCATCATTGTGTAATGCCACACTGAAAGAGCACAAATAAGTTCGCAATAAATTACTAGTAAATTAAAAATTAACTTAATTCCCATTTAATTAGAATTGTTCATACATTTTTAATCACAAAACATTTAGTTTTAATTTTAGAGAGAGTGATCATAAATTACATTTTTGACATGAATCAGGATCTTCTTTCTAAGGTCTGAAATACCATGTTTCAGCAAGAGTTTATTCTTCAGGGAATGTCTATGTGACCTCACATTTGGGGCATATTTCTGACCAGTATTGTTTTTTAAACAATTTGTGTCTATGTCATGGCGTATGGTATATTTATAATGACTTATGGAGCATATAGAAGACTCACTGGTCTTAATAATACATCACCCACCCAGTAAAAAGATGTTTTGTACTATTAATACTGCAATTACTCAGCTGGCTAAATAGCTTTTCGCAGTGACACTGACTCATACAAAAATAAAAAAGTAAGAGCATCAAAAACCATGGTTTAAATGAGGAAAATACACCAAATACAATGAATTCAATAATATCATAAAATAAATACTTTAATGCTTGGTTTCTTTTACTCCAATAAAATGTGCATTTACCAAAAACAAATTATAATCCTCAAAATCAGAAGAGATATAGTTAATTCACAATGAGAAATTCCAAAACGCACAAACCAGATGAGTAATGCTTAATAGCCATTAATGTAAACAAATACTCAGGCTCATTGGTTATGTTAGAGAAGAAACACATTCTCATGATCCCGAGTATCTCTAAGACCAAGAGTGTTTATTTTGATCTTTTTGATGTTCTGTTCTAAGAAATTTTTTTTAATTTATTAGTTATATTACTAGAATTTCAAAGTTCTGCAATACTTTGTTGTACTCTTCTTATAAATATTGTATAAATGACCAACATTCTACATCTGCGAAAGGTTCGGAGATTTAATTGGGTTGTTATTCATTCCTCTTCAACGACAATTCAACAAAACATGTTCCAATGTTTGAATTCACTGAATCTATTACTCTTTAGATGTTTTGCAAAGTACCAATTAAATTTCAAATAATATTTTAAACAATATTTATCTTAACTTTTCTTCTCAGACTGAATAATTAATGAGATTCTCAAAAGAGAAAATTTTGAAAATATGCTCAGTCTTTGGTCAAAGGGAATTGAATTTATTACATATAACCCAATAGACCTCATCACTACCATTTTGTCATCAGACAACATTAATTAAAAGTAACATCTTAATCCTATTTTCTCATTCAATATTCAGTTCTCCACATCTTCAGGCCACTTTAATCTGTTTATTCATCAATTATTTATAATTGATTATAAAATTATACACACACTTTTTTCATAGTCATCATCTACCTATCTCCCTTAAAAATCTATCTCATCTGTTATCTTTATAAAAATTTTAACTTTGCCTAAAAACTGTTTTAACAGTAGTAACTATTCTCATTACTTGCTTCTTATTTCTGTGTCTTATTCTTCTTGTATTGAACTGATAATTTAATTACCAATCTTTTGTCAGTGTCTCTACCTTTCTTCTCCGTCATTCCTGATTTCAGTTCAAGAAGTATTCTTTCTACTGTCCTGTTTATTCTGTTTCATAGCCTACACTTTTCATGTATCTGGCATTTCACCCACTGGCAGAGTGTGAATTTATTTGGAGGAGATGTCCAAATTTTAACAGGGAGGGAGGGGGGCAGAAGGATCAATCCCAACGAACTAATGATAATACTTGATTTATTCTAAGAGTCTGACTAAATCCTGAGATTGCCTGTAGGAAAATTTTCCAATTTTCTACATTTGTGAATTTCAAATTGTGAAAATCGTAAATGAAGCACCTAAATAATTAATACTTTTTCAGCAGAAGGCATCAAATGGTATCCCACTGTCAATTCACACCCTGGCCATGGGACAGAAAGTCCTAGAATAGTAAAGTTAATGTTGTAGAAAGATTTGATACACCAAATTCACTAATGAAAAATTAATAAAACTGATCTATTTCTCCAGATTATATTAAGTAAAATTAGCAGTGTTACAAATAAGTGGGTTTATCCAGTTATTTGACATTGATTCTGATGTACTTAGTATTTTTGTAAATGTTAAAATGTAAAAATTCATATTCTTAAAATAATTATATTTTTTGTATGTAAATAGTGTAGATGTACTTGCACACCAAAACAAATTCTAAAATTACGTACATGTACAAAATATAGTAGTTTTTAATAGAATAACAAAATAATTTATATCAACATAGAATGTAGTCCTTTAGTTTTCAATATATGAATGTCAACAATTTTTAACTTAATATTTTTAATAGTCAATGGAAAACAACATTGTTCTTTTGTCTTCATTAAATACTTCTTCCCTTGAAAATTCACTATCACTTGTAGCAACAAGATAAGTCAAAAAATTACCCTGAATCCAAACAAAAATGGAAATTTTACAAGTACACCATGAAAATATCTGGAAAGAGCCCTTTTAAAGTATCTACTGTTAGTCCTGTCACCTGGTGTCAAAGGGGTCTGATCCAGGAAAACAGAACCACAAGTTTTTTCCTCAATGGTTCCATTACGTTTTTTGGAGGTGCTGAATTAGGATTTTATGTTTGCCACCACAAGAAGATTAGCTTCACAGAGAACAATGAAACATTATTTTGAGCTAAAACAGCACATACTTTCTCGCCCTTAGTAACAGTAACACTATTTTTTGTATATCATCATTATAAACAATCTCTGTTACTAGAAATCGTTCATAATCAGTCACAAATGATGAAGTCTTAGTATTTTACAGTACGAATCACATGTTCAGCCAATTGCAGCGAGAGAATTGTAAGGAGGTAAAGTAAACGGAATATCCGACTACTGTTTTCTCACACAGATGTCAAATACCAGAGACAACACAAGAAAGTTGTTTTGCAAAATTAAGTTTGATTCTCTTGTAAATTTATAATGCTGTAATAAAAAAAAATATCGTAAGCTCCTCAATTATAATGTTGCTTTATTGCATTTGTACAAATTTGAAAAACTCGCTCCTAATGTCACTTTTTTTCAAAACATGTACTCGAGCAATAAAACTTAACATTATAAAATAATTACATAAACTACTATTTTACCGTAATTTCTGTTTGAATTAACACATGTCAATTATAACGTTTTGTAACACTCGTTATAAAACATAGAAAACTAGGTGTGAAAACTAAATATTTTCAAGCAAATATCAACACAAATTTGACAATTAAAACTGGTTTGCACAAATTAATGGTACTCTTTTTTTTTTTTCAAATTATCTTTCGGTTTACAGATTATTTGAAAGAAAATACATCAATACATTGAGAATACAAAGACATTCCTTGCAACACAGAGAAAAACTATAATTATCAAACATTAATTTTGTAAACCTATAACAAAAGCTCAAATGTAAGAAACGAACTAAGAAATCTGAAATAATGATATTTAATTTTAACTTATGTACCATCCAACTACCTCCAAGCACTTAAACTACATTCACAACGTGATGCCAAATTACACAAAAAATACTTTTATTTTCTAAAAATTAAACATGACTATATTTGAAGATGTTTTTGAAGAACACATTTCATTAAGAAAAAAAGTTTGTCTTCACAATTGTATTTGTTAGTTAGTAGGTGCCGAAAAGAAATTAATTTTTGTACATTTCAAAAAATCCGGGATTTTAACGAACATGAGACCATCACACCAAATCTCTTAAGCATCCTATAAGCTATCCAAGGTTAAAATTCAATCAATAATCTTCATGCCGTGTTTGGGGAGAGAAAAAAAAAAAAAAAAAACCAACAACAACAACAACACCGATCATGTTGTCTTCGGCCAACCATCCCTAGTGTCCTTTTCGAAACTCTCCCATGACGTTTAACATCATAGTCAGATGAGTAACACTTTTTGCAATTTTTGTAGCAGATTTCCCTAATTATATGACTGGTACGAAGACTGGTGATCCTTTTCTTGACACATTCACCAACACAACCTGTTTCCAGGGCTTTGTTCTGATCAATTTTTATTTTATTAACAATGGTTTTTGAAACATCTGCAGTAGTTACAATATCTCTCTGACAATGTGTGGAGTGAAGTAATAGTGTTTTTTGTCTCTAATTTTCCCTGGGGACATGTTTGAAGCCTTATCTTACTAAAATATAAGAACTACGAGATTGTGACATTACATTGTAAACTAAAACAAAATTCCCTCACAAAATTTAGTAAAAGTAATACAGAAAGTATCAAATACTTACGTTTTGATTATTTTGGAAATGGAAAAAAAGAATAATTTGTCATTACTGCAACAGTTTTCAATAAACTTCAACTGAATGAAATTACACAAATCTGTCTACTGACCCTAATAAGTTGGTCAACTACTCTGTATTATACTATGTGTAGCCTCGGGCTTCATCCCAGATGTGTATGGTGTCTGGCCCTTTCAGAAGATGTAACGCTGCAATGGAGAAATACACCTGATCTAAGAGAGAATGATGTTTTCTGAAATGTGACACATCTGGATTGTCTGCAAGCAACCAAGTAATCAAAGATACAGATGCACTCACAGTGTGAAAGGCAGTCTTTAGTTTCAGCTTAAAAGATTGTGTTGGTGAGGAAGACACAGACCTTCTGGTCAAAATGACAGGTCTTCAGATTTCTACTAATGCCTGTTTTCTTAAACCAAGCAAAGGGAAAATCCCTCCTATCCATCCTGGAAGTTCTGCAAAGAAGAGTGTAGCCGTCCATGTACTGCTCCGCCATGCAATAAGTTATTGCAAACCCACCTCAAAAGCAGTATTGTTTAATCAAAGCAAGATGAAATTGCTTAAAACCTCTCCCAATCTCATAGCACTTTACATTGAAAAATTCACTGACCCTTCAGCCCATCTGAAGGAAATTACTACTGCTGGAGGAAATTTCTAGTTACTCTGTATAGAGGTTATCACCAATCTACCCGACTGAAGCCAAGATCAAAGCACTACTTAACATCAGCCAGTAAGATTACTGTAAATATTGTCTCCCCCCCTCACTGAAGCTTAAGTCAATCAACACACACTTATGGTTTTCAACTGAGTGCAGCAGTTGATTGGGAATTATTTAAAACCTGAGTAGATTGGGGTGTAAGGGATGGCTTAACCCCCAAAACTAGTCTGCAGGCCCCTGCTCCAGGGAAACTGATACAACTTATCTTCTGTAACTGTAAAGACTGCAAAGAAAGGTATGGATGTAGACGAACAAGTATCTTCTGCCTAAAACTTTATCTTCACTGGGAAAGGGCGTAATCAAATAAATGTTGGATGGTACATACAGCTTCATTAAAAAAACATACATTAAAAAAACAAAGAAACTTTTCCCTGAATACATATAGTACAGAAGTATGTAAAGGTTCATTAGTAGATTTAATAAGTGAACTAAAAGTGTTTTTTATCATGATGTCTATACGGAGCCGTTGATGTGTGTTTCTCAGGCACATGTTTCAGTCTGTCTTGGCTCTTTTCAGCTCAAACTTGGTCCAAACCATAGGAATTAGATCTGTTAAAGTGTCATTTCCAAGAAAATTCAGATTCGTGCAATCAAAATATGGCCAGGGGATATAACAGTTTTGTACAAAAATCATAAAAATTGCCACTTTAGCATAAAGTAATGAAGCCGTGACAATGCAACAAGGCATTATGCTATTTCCTCTGTCCCCAGTCCCACCACACACATACTCTGATCCAAGAGTCATACATGGGGACAATTGCTGTGGAAATAAATACATTTTAAATGAAAAGTGACAAAAATCATAAAATTCTTCAGTTTTACCTGCAGAACAGGGATGATGGGTTTGGTTATGAAAGCCAGTCCCACTGACAACATTCCCCTCCCCATCAATCACCAAGCCCATATCCTTTTGATTTACTTGGGGTACAATAGGTGAGGAAATAAGATGCTACTCTTTAAATGAAAAGTGCCAAAAAAAATACAATTCTTAAATTTTAGCTAATTGATGGTAGCAAGCACAGTGAACATTCACAAAGCCCATATGATGAATCTTGGGTGCAAAAGATACTAACTTTAATACTAAGTTTTAAATGAGATGAGCAAAGAAAACGATAAAATGTATTTACTTTATCTAATCTGCAGTCGTTTAAGCTATGTGGCACTGCTGTTCCCTTATACTCAATTATATATTAATTAAATAAACCTTTCAGATAATTAGTACCTCATTGTTACTCCAAATCATTACATTATCCAAATTCTGCATCTCATAATACTGAGATGGAAAGTTACAGAATGGCATACATCTTCTCATTTCATAGGTTGTATATTTTTTATACATTATTTCTCTAAGAGATTATGAAGATCATGATAAAATAGATAATCTTCAGATGAAAGTTTATTTAAAAAGAGTTTACACATTCAGAGAGTAAACTTCTGAATCACAATACCACAACTTTTCTAAACTATTGATGAAAATCAAAATCAAAGAGCTGTGGAAAAGTGTCATTATAAAAACTGTTTATGACACAATTTTTTTTTACTTTCTTGCTCCGGAAAAGTCAATTTTCAACAAAATACTCATTGCTGGGGCTCAGTAACGAACAAGGGGATAAATCTTGTTTCTATAGAAAGTGAATTACTGTCTCAACACACTGGGTAGTCAGCATCCTTGTTTTGTGGGTCCTTAATATCGAAAAATCAATCGACAGTAAAATGTCTGTCTGTTCGTCTGCAGTCGATGCAAATGCCAGATCCGTTTGGCCAATTTTTTTCCAAAATTGATAATGCTTGATCGATTTAAAGGAACCTGACGCCTCTGAGTTTGAAACAGATATTTTGATTTTTGGTGATTTTTACATGGAGTTTCAACATTTTCAAAATTTTCTCAAAAATTGCTACAATTTTTTAAATTAAACTTTGTCCTAGAATAACTTAAAGAATTCATAAAGGAATGGTTCAAGTTTAATTTTTGTCAAAAATTTAATTTTTCAAAAATTGCAAAAGAAAGTTTCTTTCAAGCATTTTCTTACAACTAGAATATTGAAGTGAAAGATTTTTTTTTTCTTAATGAAATTTGTTCGTTTAAGACATCTCAAAAAGTCCTGTACAATTTTTCAAAAATATGAGTAGTTTTCTCATAATTTTACATGAAATATAGGAAATTTTATAAGTAATTTTTCTCCCCAAAACGGATCCAAAAAATTTTCTTTATATTTTATTTGCATGTATCAAAGAATAGTATAAAAAGGGGTGCTGGTCATACTTTTGACAAACACTCCATATTTTCAAAAATTGATAAAAAGGCTAGCATCGCAAAAGTGCAAGATTGTCTTAAATGAAATTTGTTCCAAAAAATTTGATCTTTAAAAAAGGTCCAGTACAACTTTTTTAAATTATTAATTTTTACATAATTTCTGATTGAAGTTAATGCAAATTATACAAAAACCATTTTCTCAAAAAATGCTAAAATTATTTCCATGAATAGAACAAGGGATGCTTAACAGAACGGCACAGATCTCATTTTCGTTAACACACTGAATTTTTCGAAAATTGCAAATTTAGAAATAATGAAAGAAAGTATAAGCTGTTGAGCACCACTACTTTTTACAAGGAAGACTGCAATGTTGAAAGATTGTTTATCTTCAATACATCTTTATACACTGGCAGAGAAGAAATTTCGAAATGGCCAAACCATAGATTTTACAGGAAATCATTAAAATAAACAAGGGGATAAATTACGGTCAAAATGTAAAACCGGAATTGCAAGTCATTATAAGAGTGTGTGCTCTGAAACAATACATCTATATTCAAAAAACAATTCGAAAATCATCAACATCACTATCCTTCAAAGAAATCTAGCTTCCATGATGTGTTGTTAGTATTGGAGTATAAGCTTTAGTATGTTATTTTTTATGAAACAGTATCTCAATCTGACATCATCGTGCACACCAGTTAGAATGAAATTCTCCTAAAAACAATTGCCAGAGAACTACTTATTCTCAAAATGAATTATTTTTGGTAAATTGCTGACATGAAATCAATAACCGATTTATTGAACAGGCAACAGAACTGCCCTAACCTCTAAGATCTCGACAATCTGACTAGTAACATCTGCAAAAAATTGTAGTGACGAGAATGAAAATTAATCTCCTTACATCACAGTAATGTGTTCCATTCCAGGAAGATCCACCATTACTCTTATACCCTAATGTACTCTCATGCTAGCAGCTTAGATATGAAAATTTCTACATTGACAGCAAATGCCATTAAGAACTTTAATCAGACATTTGATAGAGTTCTCTATATTTTCTACTCTACAAATCATCTCACCTAATCTATCAACTATCATTGCAACCAGTTGAGCATTTCTGTAATGAACTGAAGTATTTCCCTCATTAAGAACCCTCTAATTATGTTTCAGGCCTATACAGGAACCAGACCAACAAAAAAGCATGGTCTTAAACAATATACAGTGTCCCCTCTAATGACTCCTAGTTCTTGGTAAAAGGATGTTAAAAGCCAGGCCAGTTAAATTGATATTACATACATTTTATAATGTAATAGTTGAAGTATATGATTATTATTGAAAATTCTAAATAACCCTCTTAATTTGTGATTAAAATAAATATTACAGCTGTTTCTGTCACAATAAAACAGAAAAAATGACCAGATTATCTGATTTTACTTCACTCAATCTGCATACATCACAGACAAAATTGCAATACTGGAAGAACAGTGAAGCTCAAAAGTACAAAAATAGTACAGCAAGTGTTAGCAAATTGCTTCCATGACTGAATACATAATAGCATTCAGGCATGTAACATCACATATTCATTGTAAGATGAGTGCTTTTGTATTTAGTATAGCTAAGCACGGATGTTCATGAGAGTATGGGAGAATTTGAGGTTCCTTAATCTGATAATACAAACACAAATGATGGGTTTCCTCAAAATTAAAACAACAAATGCTACATTAGCGCTGTTAAAAGTTTGCCAGATAAGTTTATGCAACAACAAAATTTTTATGATGTCAGCTGTCAATGTTCAAGTTTATCCATGCATTTAATAATTTCATAGTAGACATGCAGGTTCAACAGAAATATTTTAAAACCACTCATCTTACTGTGGACATTGTCATAATTGAGGGCACTTAGGTATTTAATCATTCAAATAAACATCTGTAACTCACAAACAAAATAATCATTATATGAAAACCTAAATGGTCCCCTTCTCCCAGTACACTGTCCCAGCCATCCACTCACACACATCAAAAGGAAGGACCACAGCTAATTGCAAATAAATGCAATAATATATCTTTAAAGCTCAAACTATATCTTATTTAAATAAATTTATCATAATCAAATATTTGACTTTCAATGATATTAATAACATCAATTTACGGACAAGAAATTAAAAATTGTTTTGCAATATTCCTTGCCTTATGTGAAAAACAGGTAGTAAACTTACTCTTATTTCATCAACACCAAATTTTAAGGTTTATAAAACAAGGGGAAAGTATGTTCAAATTGCTCAAAAACCATTCACACAATAAAACTTGTACTATTTCAACAATTAAAACAAAGTATGAAGTAAGTAAAAACAAAAAGAACAGATTGAGTTCAGGCACCAGATGAAATTCTGACATAGTCAATTGATATGTCAGACATCTGGTTACATCTGATCTCCTAAGAATAATATACATGTCTACCATTTAAATATAATATAAATAAAAACATTTGTCCCCAAACATCAGTGCATGCAGATGTCCCCCATGACAGAAATAATTACATAAATACATTTCCGAGAGCAAAAATAGAATAGCAAATATTAAACATATTACAAAAAAGTTAAAACAATAAAAGGAATTTCAGAAAGAGCCAGAAAATGCTTTGAACATTTAAGATCTCTTGGAAGCTGATGATGCAGAATTGACACCAGATTTTTAAAGAGGACATTTAATGAGGAATTTTAATGAGCACAATAGTCCAAAGTAAAAATTATTAGATAAACAATACAAGGAATCCACCATTTTTACAGTACCATGATCCCCCTCAGGTGATATAAGAAGTTCTACAATGCAATACCCTGTAAAAATGTAATATTTGGCATACAAAATCACTGTTTACTGTACAAACAAAATGGGCTACAGAATGGTCAATTCTCAACATGACTGCTGTATCTGCACTTGTCAACTGAATGCTGTGTCCTGAACCAGATTTACTAAGGACTGGGAGAACATACAAAAATTATTTTTTTAAACAGCAAAATAATAATAACAAAGTGTAAAAAGTTAAGAAATTACAGTTTGTTTTAAACATATTATTGGGTTTTAAGTACAAGTTCAATAAACATTTAAAACATTTACTTACTGAAGTGATGACACTACAGAATAAAACAAATATTTGGTTTAAGAACCTAAAAACACAATAGCTTTTTTTCTCTGGTTGCTTTACTGACTTTTTGAGTAAGTATGCTAGTAACCCCACCTTATACCTGGCTCTGGAACCAGCAATTACATTATATATTAATTTTTATTTTCATTAATACTGCAAAATATATTAAAACACTTGCCACTTGTAATCACAGTCTTTTTACTTTTCTTTCTCTTTTTTCAATTTCTTTTCCGCTGTTTTTTTTTCCTGTGAAGGAAACAAAGAAAATGAAACAATGAGTTATTCCACAGAAGTGGTTAGAAAACACGTGTTTATTACAGAACAAAATAATGAATTACTATTAGCAATATCTGGATTTTCCACAAAAGAACATAATTCATCAACTCACCTAAGTTTTGCTCTTTTCCTCTCATTTTCAGTTGCTTCATCTCCGCTGTCATCAGTACTCGAGTATATTGTGGGAGCCAAATAATAAAGAGGAGTTAAGTAGCCCTGTCTAATTCTCTTAAATTTTCTCAGTTTTTCTTTCTTCACACCCTGCAAGAGTGATTGAAGTGAAACATCTAATGTAAGCTCTGCAGGAAACCTAATAAGTTTATTTAACTTCAAGGACTAAATGAGAACACATTAGCACATTACATCCACTAGTATATTCTGGCTACAAATCTACTGGTTTAAAATACACATGTCATTTGGTTGAAAACATAATATATTCAAAGTATTCATGCTTCATAGCATTCATAGTATTCTTGCTTATTTTACAACAATTTCATTTATTATTAAAGAAAAAACTACATGTGGGTGTTCAACGCTTATATGAAAATAACATTTCCATCAAGAGTAGAAATTAGTAGTTTTGAAATGTCACATTTGATTTTAAGTTGCATTTCAATCTATACAAGCAACAAAATTTCTAGTTTATTTAGTCATTCAAACAATTTTGTTTCAATTAGATGTAATTTACTGAGATATAACAATATGAAATTACTTTTGTTTATGTTAAAAATTTTCTCATTTCATGGGTGTTTAAAACGGGTTGATAAGTTCTATTAAGCTAACTACTAGACATGGCTGTCTGTGGTAATGAGTATCAATTTTTCCCTTAATTATGATTTTTCCCTTAATGAACAATCAAAGATAATTTTTGTTATATTAAAATGTCAATTTAAATATATTTTCATGAAATATTACTATGAAGAATATGATATTGTATTAAAACAAGCATAAGAGGAGTTTTTTCCTAAATATCCCATTTGAAAATTGCAGGGTTGCCTTACATTCACAGATTAACACTAGTTGGTTAGGACTGATTCCTTTGCATTGCCTTTCCGTGTCAAGAAATACTGTTTCAAATTTTCAATAACCTGCCTGCTGTCTGAATTTCTTTATAATCTGGGGCTTTACATAAAATACCTTGCCTTCAGTGGAGCCTGATTTTCTGTATTTGTTTTTGTTGTACTATTTTAGTTTTCTTTTGCTAATCAGCATTTTTGCAAGAGGTATCAAACTCTCAATGCTGCTAGAAGCAGAAGACAAACTAACTCTGTCTCTTTCTTTATTATCAGGTGATACACACGGGTTCAGTGGCATAACAGTTAGCGTATCAGATTGTTGAACCCACGTTGCAGGTTCAAGCTCAATTAAAGCCGTGATAAAATCCTCCATATGCCTTACTTCTGAGAGGAAGTAAAGCCCGCAGTCCCATGTTGTAGATTTACTGAATGTAAATGAACCTCAAGCCTAAAAGAAGCCTATGCGCAAAATTCAAAATCACCTGTTTCATCATCGCCCAAGTAATACCTTCTTTCTCTGTTACATGGTGAACAGAACTTAACGAAATTTGCGTGGTTGGCCAGAAGAGTGGGCCCGATAGCCTGAGACTTGCCACGTAAAATAAGGTAATAACTAACTAATTAAACATTAAGGTAAGAATGCCCTATCAGCACCAGCTATGCACGTTTATTCGGCTCTGTTACTGGTCGAAATATTTGCGACATTCACAAGCTTAGACAAACAGTAGGGGTTTGCCAGAGTCCTTTTGCAACTACGTGTGAGGTTCTGCAATTCATAATGTGACATAAGTCTCACACTAAGATTACTATCTTTGGACATCATGTCATTGAAACCTTGTGGTGTGAGCAGCCCAGTCAGACAGGAGGGCAGGCAGCCAGCCAACCTCTGGTCTATTTTTTTATGTTATTTCTTTGTGTCCCATTTCGAAATTTGGCAGAAAAATACAACATTACAAAATACACAAGTATTTGTAAAATTAATTTAAGAGTAAACCTAATAACATCTGGATTTTAAAAATTAAAATTTATTTATTTTTAATAAATAATAAGATTACCAAAAATATATCCACAACATATGAAAATACATCTTTCTAGATTTAATTTAAGGGTTGTGTGGGAAAACTTGTGAAAAATGTTTAAACCTTAACATGCGTAGGATTCTTTTGAAAATATAATTAATAACATTTCTGAAAGAAGTAGAATTAGAGCAAAAAGAAAAAATGTGTCCCCTACTTTCAACCCTAGAGCTCATAAAACAAAAGTCTCAAGACACTGAAAAAGAGAGATTTTTTATGAGTGTGCCATTTGATATGGAATGATTAATCAGCAAGACAATTTTCTAGACAATTCGCAATTATATTTTGACCAATCAGTAAAAAATAGTATAACATTTTAAAAATTCTCAGGTGGCTTCTTTATAATTACGAGGTTGTCTTACATTTGCATAAAAACAGTATTTTATAAGGAAACTAGCGGACCCGACACACTTCGT